CACAACACGTCCATGGTTAACAGAAATAGGAAACTTCACTTGGACAGACACTGAGAATAACACACATATTCTTAATACAGATATTGGAAATGTTTCTAGGACAGAATCCGTAAATATAACAATACCTTAGATTACAGAAGTTGAAAACTTTACCTGGACAGCGTCTGTTAATACTACAGGCTCTTGATGAACAACGGAAATAAGAAACTTTACATTAACTGCCCCTAAAAATGGTCTAAACAATTTGTTACCACTAAATTTAAATAGAAAGTAGACATAATTCAAAAGTAGTTATCGGAAACAGTTACAATACACAGAAATAGTTATGGGAAACAGGTAATTATATTATGGCAATAACTAGAAATATGTTCAGATATCGTGTGAACAGAAACTGGAATCCAGGCTTTGGCAAAGGCCAAGTAAAAGAAGAAATGTGTTTTATTAAAATAAAAATTCTTAACTAAACAGAAGTAAAGCAAGTATGTTGCATCTTCTTATCTAAAATGCTATGAATATCGTGGCATAAAATCTGTTATTTAACTATGTATAATAACTCAAGATCATGAATAACTCATTAATATATATATATATTACTATAAAGAAGCTACTTCGAAAATTTAGATTAACTGTTGAGATGTTATAGATTTTACATTGCTCGTTGAATCATTATGTATCGTGCATAACTTTCAGAACTAAGAAATGATATTGATGTATATTAATAACTAAGAAATTTAGACTATGTTACTCAAAAAACCAAAGCTTTTAAACCAGGATAAATCAATATACTTCAAAAATAATTTATATATTTGATCTTTGTTCTTGATTAATTTAAAATAAACTCTATCTGAACGTTTTACGTCAAGAACGTTGCGTGTATGTGTGTTTAAATTACATACGTTGTAACTAATTACTTCTATTTTCCTATAAACGTTTTGTTCTTTGGATATTTAATACTTCACAAAAGCATTGTAATTTATGCACTAAAGAACAGAGTAAATAAAAGCATTAAAGAGCGTTGCGGTAGTAAGTGGCATATATTTATTCGCATGACCCTTCCTACAGAACGCCTTTCTTCGGATCCAAAATCCAGAATGAGTTAGAAGTTTTTATTTCATATTGTGATCAATTTTAAAGTGAAAATGCTTTTCAAGCAATTAAAACTGCGACGTTTCACTCCATAGGAGCGGACCATCTTCAAGGACTGTACAATTAACAACGAGTTATTAATTATTATTTTGTTAATATATCTCCTGTAGATGACCTGCTCCTACGACTTGAAACGCTGCCGTTTTAATAGCTTAAAAAACAAATTTCCAGTGTAAAGCTGATCACGATATAACATTTAATCATCCAGTGGAGTCATCATCTCTTAATATATAAGAACTAGGCACTTTATTACGTTATATTATACAAGAACACTACAAATACTAGAATGCTGGTCTGGAAGAAAAGTGGATATACAATTCAGATATACGATTTTAAGCATTTAAATGATAATAATCAATATATATAAATAAACTATTAAATAAAGTTTTATAAAATATTTAGGAAATAATATAAATCTAAAAGCAAATCATTTGACTTTAATTGTAATATAATTAAGTTATAGCTGAACAGCTGTAATTCAACAATGCAAGGTAACATGAAAACAACATATGAACAATGTACCATGACACCAATACGTAAACAATTGGCTTTAAATTCATTCTAAAAGTATTTGAGTAATTGCCATAGCTACAACTGAATTATATTGTAAATAAATTATACGTCTTAACATCATTGTTATTTCTGAAAATACAATAATGGCAATTTTCACAATAGGTAAGTTGAAATAAATTAAGTTATAACTGGATAGTTATAGTTGAATTTGCCTACTGTAAAGGCCCGACATAGCCAGGTGGTTAGGGCGCTCGACTCGCAATCTGCGGGTTTGAATCTCCGTCCCACCAAAAATTCTCGCCCTTTCAGCCGTGGGGATGTTATATGTGACGATCAATCCCACTATTCGTTGGTAAAAGAGTAGCCCAAGAGTTGGCAATGGGTGGTGATGACTAGCTGCCTTCCCTCTAGTCTTTCACTACTAAATTAGGGACGGCTAGCGTAGAGACCTCGTGTAGCTTTGCGCGAAATTCAAAACAAACCAAGCCTACTGTAAAAGTTGGTGTTATTGTATTTTTGAATTAATTATTCAGTTCAGTATGTTCCTTACTAAATATTGATATTATTATTTTTAACTTTGGTTAACGCAAACTGGAGTTTAATACAAAACTTTGATATTTAGAATTGATATTATTTTTATTTTCCTATTTGTAATATTTTATTTGTATTTATTCATTTATTACGTCACTTCCACCCAGTGGCACAGCGGCATGTCTGCGGACTTACAACGCTAGAAACTGGGTGCAGCTTTGTGCTTAACTTCAAACAAACAATAAAAAAATAATTACGTCACTGTTTTAATTTTTTTACCTCAATTGTTGTAGCTTAACTGTCCATCTATGTTCTAAACCTGTATTATAATATTCGTGGTATTGTTGTATTACAAAATGTAATTGAAGTTTTAGTTCATGGTATTTTAAAATGCTACACCATGTCGTTTAATTTCGATGACGAGGAACCCACTTTGAGACTAATAATGGCTGGAGACGGCCATTACTCATTCAAGCCGTCTCCAGCCATTATTACATGTCGTTTAATGTACCTGTAATGGCCATGTTTCACATTCCTGCGTGGTAAGCAATGTCCATGCTATCTATCTTGGTCCTTCAGCAACTCTTCTCATGGCTGCTGAACTTTCATTTCTGAGGTACATTCACTAGTAAAATCATCATTACGTATGGTACGAATAGCCAATACTACTGTAGCCATTATTACTTGTAAAGCAACAGAAATACCTAGTCATAGTATTCAGAATATCTAAAATGTATTTGGATTTTAGCCAAAGCAGACAATTTTGAATCTAAGCCTAGATAAAGTGGCCGCTAATCATCAACAGTATGACACAAAATCTGGCAAAATATTGATCTCTAATTTTATTATGGGTTGAGACCAGTCTCTGACCACAGTGTGATCAAGAAGTTCCACCAGGTACACATAAGGTAACATTTTCCTGGTTTCAATTTCAAAACTGCATTCTTCATTCACTGAAAAAATCATGCCTAGGTGTTCAGCAACAAACTGAAATATGTGACCAAACAATAAGACATCATCAATATAGATCAAACATTTCTCCCTTCTCAAGTGAGCTCCCTCAGTTGTTTGAATGTGGTTGGTACATTACACAGGTCATTTGGCATAATATCAAATTAATAAAAGCCACATCGAGTGCTAAAAGTAGTATTTGGTCTGAAAAACATTCGGCTTCTCTCGGATAACTGAAAAAAAAATAAACCAAAGATTTCATTTTCTCAACTAAACTTCCTCAGTTGATAGAAGAGAAAGCTGTGAAAGCTTTGCTGATGAATTGCGATGTCTTGGATTATGATGTTTTGAATTAAACAAGAAAATATGAAGTATGTTTAGAAATTTGAGGGAAATTCTTGGGTTATTCAGTCCAGTTTATTAGTATCCAAAAGTCAAGTCTAAAGTTATGAACCAGTGGCCACCTTCCAATGCATCTATGCATCTGTCTGTCCATAGTAATGGAAATATGTCAGCATATATCACAGTATCCACTCTCCTAAAATCAGCACTCCTTTCTTCCTAACAATCATAACTGCACACAACCAAGCACTCTTCAAAGGTTATATGACTACATCCTCTAACATCCACCGTAGCTCAACATTAACTACATCTCTAGTCTCAAGGAAAGTCTGTGTTGCAGTTGTTTTACTGCCCTTATCTATGTAGTGGAAGTTACTGTTTTCTGGCCCAAATGGCTCTCTGATCCCAAAAACACAACGACGTAATCAGGCAGAAACTCACTATATCTCTGTCATTGTGTTTAATTTAATTTGTTTGCGAAATCATCATCCAAATATCTCAGATGATCTTTCAGTCATGCATTTGTTCTTGAATATGGTGAAACCTAAGTGACACCAGTTATGGAGCTAGTTTTAATAACAGATACTTCATTCACAATTCCATTGACCTCTTCTGTGGAAACCGAAAAGCTAAATGCCCATAATTACAGGCCAGCACCAGGTTCATGACATCATTTTGAGAGATATCTGATCAAGCGAGTGCAACCTGCATTCCTTATAACAAATGGTATGTTTCTTGGATCGTTTCTGTTCTATCACTGCAGCAGAATGGCGATGATGCACGAAACTGTGTTTATGATACACCAAAGATCACCACCTGTATACCAAGAGGTACTGTGATTCCCTATACAAAATGTACATATGCTGTCTATCGTTCTGAGGCATAATCCCGTAAGCACTGAGTAGTTTTTCTGCATAACTACAGCATATCCATTGCGCAAACAAAACTGGCTGAACATTTCCTTAGTAAGCCCACCCCTAAAATTAAATGCATGAACACAGATCAAAGATAGCTACCTTCATTTAATGAGTGGCATAACGAAAACAAAGTTAGAGACGTGCTTTTGAATTAGCCAGAACACATTCCGTGTCATATGGCTGTAATGGTAGATTCACTAGGACTATCTGGTAAAAAGCAAAGTCAGCCAGATCTCTGGTAGCTCATGTATCAACCAGGAATTCAACCGTGCTTCTTTGTAGCTTTACTTACAAATACCAAGCCTCAACCAGTTCTGCATAAGCTGGGCTGACCACCACACCTCTGAAACCAACTGATTACTGTACATCTCTAGGTCAGTGGCCAAACCTCCTGGTCACAGGAGACGTAAATTATTTATGTTTCTGCTGTAACTGCTTTAAAATTGGGCAGAAAGGAGCATGCTTTCTATGTTGCCTAGGAGCAAGATATAGGTAATTTTATTTGAAATATCCAGACTGCCATCTGTAAGGAAGCTGTCATGAGAGGATCTGGAAAACTCATGCCATTTGTTAGCGTCCAGTAAGGCTATGCAGAGCTTGAAAAGCCCTGACCACCCGTTGACACTTTGTGTGGTTGTGCCAAAGCAGTGAGAGTGTAGGTTCAAAAGTACTTGGATGTATTTGCAGCAAGGGAGATTGGAGTGGGTTTCAAGCCTTTTTGGATGCTGGCATCACCAGAGTTTGTTCTGGCCGAGTTTTAGTTACTAAAGCTACTGATGTGGGCTTCTTTCTCACATACATCCTGTTCAAAGTTACTATTTCAAACCTGGTTGCCACAAAAATTGCTTCGTTAATGTGTATATGTCTCAACACCCATATGATGTTACACTATTTCACTTAAGAGACCTTCAATGCAATCATCTATGAATATATCTTCGCGATCTGTGGCGACAATAGTGGGGTATGCCTTCCCATGCAGCCATCATTTTTAGCAAGTACTCAGAAGTTGTTCGGTCACGTTGTTTTTTGATTTTTTTTTATGGGAGCATCAAGATTTGTACAACTGCTCACATTATTCTAGCTACACTCACCACTGTGAAACTGGGTCCATCTTTTTGCGTTTCTTTTTATTGAATATATATGATTTTATAGTGTTCATTGAAGAGTATTTATAATTGAAATGTTGTTCAACCAATGTAGCATGTCTATCAGTTCTTACATCAGTAACTATAAATGACCAACGAGTGTTTTAATGAAGATACTTTCAACTAATTTGATTGTCTAGCTATGGGAATTTCTCTGAAAGCTTTCTGTAAAATGTATTTTAACATCATGAAAAACTTGGTCTTCTCGAAACAAAACAGAAATGGTTAAGTAACTTCTTTTCAACCTATAGGACTTCACTCTAAAATATCTTAGACAGAGAACTAAAGATAATATTGTTTTATTCATTATTCAAGTAAAACATCTACAAGAGAGTGTGTATATTCTTGGGCAACATGATTTGGTGTAACTAAGATTAATGACTTTTTATTGTTTATTAAGTACGTTTTAACAGTAATAATACTTCGATAAATATTTCAAAAATTTTGTAAAAGGAGGATTGGAAGTTTGTCTTCATTCATGTTATCATACTCAATTAGGTATTCTAAGTTTATTTTAATTATATATATGAGACTAAGTACAGAATATTAAAACGATTTTGGAGCCTTACTACGTCATTACAGACCATTTTGCCAGTCTGGTCGTACTCTATCTGACGACCGTGCATCTTTACAATAGCCCTGGAACAAAGTTTCTATGACTAAAAGGATCTGTTATAAGGCTGCCATGTACAAAGAACACACCACTCCTCCCTACAGACTTTCCATAATCAATCTAGTGTATGAGGATGATAGTATACTCTTTCAACAGTCCCATAGCACTGAAATCCATAGGTGACTTGACTTCGTATCAAATAGCATGAATACCAATTTCATTTTTCAGCTGCTTGAGGTATACGACGGTTGAACTGATACGTAATGGAAGCAGTTTGTATACACGTGACCTGTGTCGCTTCTACAGACGGAGACCATTATTGATTATGTTACGTGCTGTTGTCTAGTAGACGTGGATGGTGTTTTCACTGACCTTTGCTTACCACGACTTGTCGCGAGTCTCTTTCTGGATTGTTCTGGTACCTCAAGTTTATCTATATTCCTATGTTTTCTAGTTCTATTAAGCATAAAGAATATTTCCATCTTACAAAAAGATTGTCATTTTATATATTTTTTTCGAATAGATTATATTTATATTCAGAAGAAAAAAAACTTAAACCTCACGATCTTTCTGGAGGCTACAAAATTCTAAAACATTCAGCCATATGAAGTTCTCTGGATACATACCTTGTAAAATGATTATTTCAGTTAATTTAATAAAGTTTTCAGTTAACTTGTATTGTAAATGGTATCTATAAAAATTCAGTATGTTCTCATTTATGAGTTTTTCATTGTTACTTTAACTATTAAACAGTTATCATAAAGCCAAAACACTTATAATTTATGATAATTTATCTAGGTCAATGTTTTGCTTAATTTATCAAAAATCACCAATAACTCTTTTTGTATATTCAAGATTTTGCATGTATATGTTTCACATACTAAATATTTCTATTCTAGGAATTACCATGGTGAAGTTTCTAAAGTGATTTATCATGTTTTTTCTTTAATTCTTTGTATTAAAATTTTTACTGTAAATATATTAAGTTTATTATTCGTTTATTAATGTTAATAGTGAGTGGTAGTGGTTTACCGTTTTGTTCTATAATGATAAGTTGTATTTATATTTTGACATTTTACTCGTTGTAATTATGAAAATATACATTTTCATTCGATATAATTTCAAATAAACATGATTTGGCTGAGCTATTCTGAGAACATTATCTGCCTGAAGTTTTAAGGAAGCAAGTAGTTTTGTAATAGTTTTATCAAGCAAACAAAGCAAATGTTCATTTCGTAAAATCCACTTAAATAAATACAGTGTCAAATTTTTAAACTTGTGGGATATGCTACTCATCTTCTATAACAATTGAAATCAATTGTTTAAGCAAGCGTCATTAGCCTACAAAAATCTGAGCGTGAAGCCTGGATTGGTTCTTAGTTTAAAAGATGATTTTTTTTTTGTTACAAAATGAAATATTATCCTTATTTTTGATACCTTTGTTTTTTGAATTTCGCGCAAAGCTTCACGAGGGCTATATGCGCTAGCCGTCCCTAATTTAGCAGTGTAAGACTTGAGGGAAGGCAGCTAGTCATCACCACCCACCGCCAACTCTTGGGCTACTCTTTTACCAACGAATAGTGGGATTGATCGTCACATAATAACGCCCTCACGGCTAAAAGGGGCGAGCATGTTTGATGGGACGGGGATTCCAACCCGCTAACCTCAGACTGTGAATCGAATGCCCTAACCACCTGGCCATGCCGGACCAATACCTCTTCAAATCACAGTTCGTTTACTTTATCTGTAACATAGTGCTTTAAAAATTCAAAATATTGACAAACCCCTTTATCTGTTTGAATATCTAATTTTCATTATACTAATATCTAAATGTCACAAAAAAAAGGCTCCTTAGAGGAAAACTTGGGGTAATATTTTCAATACTAACACTTCCTATGAAAACATCACAAGCATACTTTATGGGAAAATATATTTAAAAGTATACTTTAACGAACTGGAATTTTTTTCAGTAGAATATTTCAAAGTTATCAATAAATTATAATTCAATTCTTTGAATTGTTAATTGGTTCTATGTGAATCATCTTATAATTTTAAATACATCTAACGAGTAAAATTCTAAGACAATTTACCACAAAATATTCATAAACTTGGACAATAAATGAGAAAGTGTGTTTTTAATTCTGAAGAAACAGTACTTTTTGTGATACCATAGCACTTGTACACTTCTAAACTAAAGAAATAAACAAGGCTGCAGTTATTACCTTACCTTGAAGTAAAATAAAAATGGTTTGAGAGATATGTTGCTTAAATTAAAATATTTTTAATGGGTGATTTCTTTATTCACAGTACATTTCACTTGTGATAAACAACAACGTATTACAACAGAAAGTAATTATTATAATTTTGTCACAGCAAACAAAAGGGTGTACTAATGAATGAATGTTTTTAATAATGAAATAAAAAAGTCAATCAAATTTATCCATTTTATTGAATAACGCATCGTCTAATTTCACAATACATAAAATATATCATAAGAAGTTTGATAGAATATTTAGATACAAGAAGAAACTTAAGTCAGATCTGTTTTGAATAACAAAGAAAATACACTCACACACACACAGTGTTTCAAATAAAAAAATATATCTAACTAGCTTCCAATACTACAGGTCTGTAAAACCCCATATTCTATTGTGCAATCACCACTTTCCCATGATAATATCAATTCATGGACACACACACACACACATAGCTATTACTTCTTATGTTGTCAATACATGGACACACACATAGCTATTACTTCTTATGTTGAAAGTAACAGAAATCTTAAACTTAAAAAACAAAAATCTGTTTTTAAAGGATTATGAGGAACTCTAAAGTTTCAAAAGTGTCACCTTTGGAATAAAAAATAATAATAGTTAAGAGACTGTGTGATTTTATTACACACAGACAGATACACACACACACACACACACATATATATATATATATATATATTATGTATGCAGAACTTTATATGTATATAACTATTTCACTTATATCATTGTTTCATATTCTAAGGTAAATTGCAAACAGTTATACACTTTTACAGTTTATTATTTACTGAGTAGTGCCACGGTCTTGTCAGTTGTTCAACTGAAATTGGCACCAATGTTGTTGTTTTTTTCAAAATTCAAAAATAAACAAACTTAACAATTTCGAATGCTTGATATTTATTTATATTCCTGTGTTACAAACATGGACTGCTCTGTTCCTCAGCTGTGTATGCACATGAAACTGTATACGCAGAATAATATATTATGGAACTTGATGAAAACCAGATTATAAATGTAAGAGACTCAAAAACATTTATGTTAAATGCTATAGGTATCTTACATAGATAAACACTCACAATTACACCTGGATAATTTTTCTGTGAGAGGAATACTCACGGGATTTCAAATTAACACAAATGACCAACAGAAAGTGAGAAAAGTGCACCTAAAGTGTACTTTAAAAATTATTAGTAAAATGCCATTTGAGGTAATCTTGGACACATTTGTAATTGAGAAACATTAACCAATGAGATAGTCAAAATCATATATTACCTATGATTGCTATGAACAACAAATTATGAAATGTCTACACGCACATAATTTTGACACTTAATAAATGTTTTTTTGATTAAAATAATTCTTCATGACAATTCATTGAAAAAACGATCGGCAGCACTTTAAAAACATGGAAAAAGTTAAAACCTACACCTAACCACACAAAACGACAAAATTCATGGAAATACAGTTTTTGTTATCATTTGATACTTATTTTACTTAATACAAAATTATATCAGCTGTCATAAGGGAGTTTATTACAAGAAAATAAAAATGGTGAAGTAAAAATTCGGACAAGTTTTCATGACATCTTTTAAACATTATGCATTTGCAATATCTCCACAGAGTCAAAACATGAATAACTATTTACTTTGTTGTTGTATATGATTTTTTTTTAATTGTCTTTTACATGAATCAAGAGATTTGGTACTTGGTATCAAGAAAAATATCATCATTGAAAATTAAAAAAATAAATGCTTATGTATTAAAACCTTTGTCATTTGTACAAAAATATCATCTTGTAGTTTATACCTTGATTGACTTGAATTGTTTTTGTCTTCGGTGGTTGATTCGTGATACTAAATATAAAGAGATGACAACCTAAAAAGCAATCTGCTTCTACAAAAAAAAAACCTTTACGACAAACTAACAAAAATCAGCAGAATTATTCTAAACTGGAAAAACCCTGTTTGTATTTTACAATATACCACATATCATCATTTAATCCAATTAAAAATTCTTATATTCGACAATCACACTAATTTCTAACAATAGATCAAAGACTGACATTGAGAAAACTACTTTTAGATGAACAATGGATTCAGAACTATCGTGTATTCATCTTTGTAGATAAACCATTCAAGCATTCATACTACAGTTCGTTCTGTTTTGTCTGAAAAAACAAAAGAATAAGATATAAAGCTAGAATCGTAAAAAAACAATAAAAAATATACTAAATTTATAAGAAAAACTTTTTTATTCTGTTGAATGAATAAATGGTAGTACTGTAGGCAATTTTATTTTTAAAAAATATTGTTACACGGTTACTTTTCAGCTATATGTATGTATATTTACAAAATAGTTAAACACACTGATAAATTTGGTTACAAAAAACCTATAAACTAAATTATTTAAGTCATGGGAGGTTAATCCAAAATTCTATAGATGGTGTCTTGGCCCTTAAAATCCCATTACACTTGGGGTTATATAAACCTCAAATACTCATTCAACACACAATTGAAGAATTAAATTAGCTAACATGTCAAATGCAATTTTTAATGTAAGGATCAAAACAAAAACTATTTCACAAGAACATTATAAAGTTATTGAACAATAGCTTATCGTTATTTAAAAAAAAAAATTTTCTTGTTAGGTATAGGAGTGTTAAGATTGCACTGTATAGGAACTATAATGTTACTTCTAATGTGTTGTTTAATAGGTTTTTTATACAAAAATTATTACAACAGAGAAATTGTCATCCCCAAGACACCAATTGATCAACATTGGAATCATTCTGAAAAATAACTGTTCTTATCTGGGTTTTTTTTCTACAATTATAACTTAACATGACAATAAGTTAGCAATAAAATTCTAATTTAGTGTTATAGATTATTTGAGCAAAGTTTATACAAAAGCATCACCAAAAAGGAAAACTAGTGAAAGGGAAACATCATGAGGGAACTAGAAACACTCACTGTTTGGGTGATCTGGCTGGTCTATGAGCTCTTTAAGTTCTTTTTCTTCAGGTTCATTGTCCTCCTCATCTGGCCAATGAAGTTCTACACCAAGGTAGTACATCCAGCCGCCGATGATGGCACCAAGATGGGGTCCAATGACTCCCACCCAGAAGTAATTGTAATTCCGATGACTGAAAAAACAATTTATAATCTAAATAACTAAATAAAATAAAATGAGTTATGATAGAATCAAGTGAAGCCAAGTAAGAAATACTACCTTTTCTTGGAAATTTTCAACCTATCTGAAAATTGCCTAAACCCTCATGATCTCCCATTAGATGACTCTAATGTGACAATTTCAAAAATTGAAATGTAGATACTTATTTTCAACTGTCATTTTCTTGTTCATGTCTATTTTTATGCAAAGTAGTACAACCAATCCTAAGATTCTCCAAAATCTATATGCTATCTTAAATCAGAGACACAAAGGAAAGAAGTATGGTGAAGCTATTTTTCCCTGCAATACACCAAATTGTTATATTACATAGACTAATATTACATAGACTAAATATATTACAGGCCCTACTGAGGAGAAAATATTTTTATAAGTTCTAGATTTGGTTGTAACTCACATAATGTTACTTATGTATTATCTTGTATTTGTTGTAAGCAAATATATGTTGGAGAAATAGAAGATTTAAGTTTGAAAATAAATGTACACAAGTCTCATGTCAGAAATGCAAATAATATCCCATTATCTGTTAACAAACACATTAATAACTGTATTGTGGGAAAATATCATACTTTAGAAGAACCTTTTTTTTCTAAATATTTTCATTTCGATATTCTTTTGAAAAGAAGAAGAGATTATTTCATGAAAATTATTTTATTAATAAATTTAGAACCACATTAAATGTTAAATAACTATTTAACACACATAGAGAGTTTAAAACACATATAAAGTTTTAAGGTCAAAAATCGAGGGAAGTTTTACATTATTTCGTAGGTCTTATTCGAGAGAGTTTAGGGAGAAAGAGGTCAACACCAAACCTGACCCTCCCTAGTCTAAAACATGGGCCGAATCCCAGTGAAGAAGCAGAGGAGAATGCTTAATAACAAAAACAGAAGTAATTACATATATTAAACATACAAAATCAAAACAAAGTATACAAGCCATTCCACACAAGACAGGTACCCAAAAGTTGTTTGATCATCTAACAACATTATTAAATTTATCCCTAAACTCTGGTTTATTCCCAACCACTCTGAAGCAAGTAAATATTATTGTGTTCCTAAAAGAAGGAAAACAGCAAATAAACTGGAAAAATACCAACCAATTAGTTTGACTAATTGTATAGGAAGAATGATTAGTAATAGGCTTTACACTTTTCTGGAGATTTCATCAAAATTACCTGAAGTTCAAAATCGTTACAGAAAATTTCTGAAAAGAACATAGCATTTGGTTAGATTACTGAAGCCATAGTAGATAGTTTTAACCAGGAGAAATGCACTTATGCCTGCTATCTCGATATAGAGAAAGCATTCAACACTGTATAGCACATTGGATTGAGATATAAAATGAAGCAAATGGATTTACTGACAGATGTTATTTGCTGGTTGTCCGACTTCCTAGATAATAGAAAATATAGAGTGAACATGCTTTGTTCCCCGGGGTGGGGGTAGTTAGCCCTGTCCTTTCCATGATGTATGTAAGCAATACACCATTAGAATATCCTAATATTAGTCTAACCTCACAATTTGCATACTACTTGATGATATTGAAGAGTTCCACGACCCTTTTGATAGCATCTACAAATTTACAGCCAATTTTGAATCAAACAGTCCAGTATTGCCAAAAGCACAGGATAAGAATAAATGTTCTAAAACTAACCCAGTCCTATTCTCAAAATCAACAAAAACACTTAGAAA